TGATCTACCTTGTACATAGCTTATCTTGTTTATTTACCTATATGTTCGAGAGCTCGAGACATACAAATGAGAGCATCTATCTGTCCTGATCAACCATACTGGCGATATTCTGCCACGGTGCTTCAACAATGGGGTACACACCCCGCCCGTTATCAGACGTTCATCATTACCTATCACTCACGCGATTTTTACCTCGGTCAAGCATTGACTGACTTTTGACCTGATGTACTTTAAACAAAGATGCTGCTCTCTACGATACACACCATTCCAAAGTTACCGTTGAACCCATTTTTTACTCATTTTGTTATAAACTTCGCTCCAATCACGAACACACACTAGAGATAATCTCTTCACAAACCTCGCTATAATCACCAACACACATCAAAAGTAATTATCTCACATACTTCGCTCCAATCACGGACATACACGAGGGGTAATCCTCTCACACATTTTGCTCCAATCACGGACATACCCTAGAGGTAATCCCCGCAAACATTTCGGTCCAATCACGGACACGCCCTAGACGTAATCCCCACAAACACTTCGCTCCAATCAAGAACACATCCTAGAAGTAATCCTCTCACATACTTCGCTTCAAACACGAACACACCCTAGAGATAATCCCTTCACACACTTCGCTCCAATCATGGACAAACCCTAGAGGTGATCCCCGCCAACACTTCCCTCAAATCAGAAACATACACGAGGGGTAATCCTCTCACATGCTTCGCTCCAATCACGGACACACCCTGGAGGTAATACCCGCAAACACTTCGCTGCAATCAAGAACACGCCCTAGACGTAATCCTCTCACACTCTTCACTCCAATCACGGACACATCATAGACGTAATCCTCGCCAACACTTCCCTCAAATCAGAAACATACACGATGGGTAATCCTCTCACATGCTTCGCTCCAATCACGAACAAGCCCTAGACGTAATCCCCGCAAACACTTCGCTAAATTCACAAACAAACTCTAGAGATCATCCCTTTACACACTTCGCTCTAATCACGAACACCCCCGGAGGTACTTCAAGCAAACATTTCGCTCAATTCACGGACATACCCTACAGATAATCTCTTCACACACCTCGCTCCAATTACGGATACACCCTAGAGGTGATTCCCGCAAACTCTTCTCTCCAATCACGAACACAACCTAGAGGTAATCCCCGCAAACACTTCTCTCCAATCAAAGACACACCCTAGACGTAATCCCCACAATCACTTCGTTCCAATCACAGACACACTCTAGAGGTAATCCCCGCAAACTCTTCTCTCCAATCACGAACACACCCTAGAGATAATCCCTTCACACACCTCGCTCCAATCACGGATACACCCTAGAGGTGTTCCCCGCAAACACTTCGCCTCAATCACGAACACATCCTAGAGATAATCTCTTCACAAATCTCGCTCTAATCACCAACACACATCAAAAGTAATCATCTCACAAACTTCGTTCCAATCACGAACACACCATAGAGATCATTCCTTCAAACACCTCGCTCCATTCACGAACACAACCTAGACGTAATCTCCCCCAAACACTTCGCTCCAATCAAGAACACACCCTAGAGATAATCTCTTCACAAACCTCGCTCTAATCACCAACACACATTAAAAGTAATCATCTCACACACTTCGCTTCAATCACGGACACGCCCTAGACGTATTCCTCTAACATACTTTGCTTCAATCAAGAACACATCCTAGAAGTAATACCCGCAAACACTTCGCTCTAATCACGAACACACTCTAAAGATCATCTCTGCACACACCTCGCACCAATCACGAACATACCCTAGAGATAATCTCTTCACACACCTCGCTCCAATCACGAACATACCCTAGAGATAATCCCTTCACACACCTCGCACCAATCACGAACATACCCTAGAGATAATCTCTTCACACACCTCGCTCCAATCACGAACATACCCTAGAGATAATCTCTTCACACACCTCGCTCCAATCACGAACACCCCCTGGAGGTACTTCAATAAAACACTTTGCTCAATTCACGGACACACCCTAGAGATAATCCCTTCACACACCTCGCTCCAATCACGAACATACCCTAGAGATAATCTCTTCACACACCTCGCTCCAATCACGAACATACCCTAGAGATAATCTCTTCACACACCTCGCTCCAATCACGAACACCCCCTGGAGGTACTTCAATCAAACACTTTGCTCAATTCACGGACACACCCTAGAGATAATCCCTTCACACACCTCGCTCCAATCACGAACATACCCTAGAGATAATCTCTTCACACACCTCACTCCAATCACGAACACACGTCATTAGACGTCACCGAATTGGACTGTTCGTCCTACGCGCACACCCGCCGATATGACACTTTTTAAGTTTTTGAAGATAAAAAGTTTGCGCTTCGTAGGCAAGTTACATTTGGTGCTCATGATTTATGAATAATATATTTTTAATACTGTACTGATCATGATGTTGACTCTGTTATAACTTATATTTTTTGTCTTTTAGTTTTATTTGATGAAGGCTGTTTGTGCTGATTTCTCAAGGTTTGTTAATGTGTATCAAAGTTCCTTGAAATGAAAATATTCCTTCAAACAAAGCGCGTATAAAAAAAACCAAAATATTCATGTTTATAATTATCAATTAACTAGAACGAAATATTTTCATAAAATATTTATTCATTTAGCGTGTCATGGTGACATTATCTAATGCGTTGGAGATCAGAAATAGTAGTAGCTATAGTGAAAATATTGTAAATTTTGTATATATATGGAAGTCTGGTTTAATCTCAAAGAACTATGTCTTTATAGACATAATTACTGGAAGAAAAGTCTAACCATGATACTTCAAGGAAGATAGGCATGTAAATACATTTAATGTAATTACTTACACTTTAATCTATCTGAAATGCTGTTTACACCTTATTTACTTTCCTCAACTACAAATATAATTATAATAAGTAAGGACTATTACTTTGCAGTACATTCAAAATAAAGAAGTAGGTATAAAGTCCTTCCGATTTGTCTAAATCCTCATATTGATAGGATAGTAATTGCAACATCTTGGGTATTTCAAGGGTTCTATTTAGTTAACTTCATCATAGAGCTATTTATCATTTGGCTTATTGGCGATAAATATATGGTTGTGTGTATTTTGTTATTTTTTTTTACCTATTTTGATTTGTTCACATTATTGTCGTCAAATTTGAAATAAGAATTAAAGAAGATATAAAATCGCTTAAAATTAAGAAAAATAGCCTCTGGTTCTCTTATTTTAGTAATTTTTGCATTCCAAAGTGTAGGAGTATGGGGAAAGTAATATAACTTCGCGGTTATTTGTGAACATTTTTTCAAAACGTTTAGCCTCTCAGTACTTTCAGTACTTTGATTTTATTTAGTCTGTGTTATATTTCAAGAAAATCTTATTACTTTCATACGAAATTCATGTAAGTTTCAATATGACTTCCATCCGGGTCAATAGAGGGATTGAAGTACCTTTACATAACGAATACAATGAAAAAAAAGATATACAGTGAACTCAACATATAACGAGATCGGTTCACAAACACAACATATCGGCGGAGACCACTTCAACTGACACTGCAAATGAGGAAATATATTTAGAATAACAATGATATGTATCTAACTTAATTTCATTATAATTGATGTTTGAATAAAGCTTTTAAATCCGTATTGAACGGCAAGTGCCAACGGTTTCTTTGTAGCCTACTGTAGAAATCGCTATGTATGTGATGCTGCCTTTAAGCTGTCTTTTTTAGTGTGATAAAAAAAACTGCAGACTAATCCATATTAGTAGTAATCGTGATGATCTCAAACTCGATCCCTTTTCAATATAGTTCAGTTTTTTTCGCAAATCTACGTTGGTGTGTATATCCGTATAGCATAGTGTAGAATCGTACCAGTAAAACTTTTTTCAGCCAATACTAGTTACTAGTATCATGGAAAACGCATAACACGATAACATATCCCTACACACAGAGTAAATAACTTACTTTGTTATTTCTCACTTCATTAGAAAGGTAACAGGAGGGAGAGGGGGTCAACAGTTACCCTGTCCCGTCTCGCCCTGTATCACCGTCAACCCAGGTTCGATGGGTACAGCTTGTATTTTGTTTTCGAAGGTGGACAAACACTGCTAATTTAAATGTAACAATTTATTTAACAGCAAACATTAATTAACAGGAATTATCAACACCGGCATAGGCCTATACCGACACAGAGACCCCCATCTTACACCGAACACATAAACTTATCTATCTCTATACAAAATTACATTCCACCCAGCTATAGATTCCCACCCGATAAAATAACGAATTACGCTACCATCCCCCGACCTACCTCAGAGAAGGTTTTCACCCTGTGGAAGTTAATCCAACGCTCTGCACCCAAATTATTAGACATACTGCATCTTATACCCTAAAATGACAATACGAGACAGTTTGAACCAATCACAACACATCACCACAGACAGAACACCCCTGACACGGATGAAAATGCAAGGAAAACAAGACAGGAGAACTTGCACGTGATATACCTAGACCTCCGACAAAACGGGTAACAGGTGGAAAGGACAAAACAATGGAGAGGTCACGGGTACACAGGGTACAAACACTACAGTAGACCTGACACACGGACACCTGTATAAAGCTGACTAAAATTGAAGCATTGACAGCTTTATATCATATATCATTACACAAGATATAATGTCCCCCGCTACAGAAATAATTCATTTATTCGTTGGCAAAGGATTCTTAATATTTATAATGTTAGGCACATGTAATTGAATTGCTGTGTAGTTCATTAAATGTAAGAATAGCCAGCAAATGACTGATTTTGTATAAATAATTTAATGGGTAAAAAAATCTTTATTCTTTAAAAAATATCCTATCGGTGGATTCCTCACACTCTAGTTTTACCCGTGTTCAGTTCTTTAGCGAGAGCTTTCCCGGATCCGGAAGTAACGTCATTTTAATGACATGAGCTACTTTCAGTTTACCGGTAACTCGGGAGTGCCTAACGCTCCACCGAATTTTGCTATGATGGCGCACCCATATTATCAGCAAATGCAGCCAATGCCACCACAGATGGCGACACCTCTCAGCGACATACAGATTGCCAGTATCGTGCAAGCAGCCATCAAACTCTTGTGTCATGTTGGCGGGCCCCTCTACATCCGTGACCTGGCGTTGGAAATCTACAATGTCGCGAGGGACTTGCCTCGAGTCAGTGAACAACAACTCCACATGCTGTTCCGGAGTTTCCCAAACAACTTCTGTATCACACGGAAAGAGGGAACCAACTTAGATGTTATTCAGGCGATATCTAAACTGGCTTTGTGCAGTGAACATTGCACACGGAAAACCGCCTGCATGGGTTTTCCTGTTTGTGACAAGTTACATATATGCAAATTTTATCTATTGTCAAATTCATGTAGGTTTTCTAAAATTCAAGAAGGTACGTGTATGTTTGGTCACGATTTGACTACCCAGCATAACAGAGCTGCCCTGCAACAACACTGGCTTGCTCATCTAACAGTTCAAGAACTGAGATACCTGTTCCAGTCTACAGAGAGTCGAAATGAGTCCACCTTGCCCCATATCTGTAAATTTTACAATGTAGGAGCTGCAGGGTGTAGAAATCTCACGCAAGGTGTACCATGTCCTTATCTCCATATATGTCGCCATTATGTGATCAGCCAATGTAAATTTGGCCAAGGATGCAAGCGGAACCACGACATCAACCATGCACAAGTCAGAGGTTTGTTTATTCACCATTGATTTGATGGTATATGTGGCATTGTTGTATACATGTTTGCCTTCATGCATTAGTCTGAAGGATTCAAACTTGAAATACATATATTTCTGTGATTTACTTTATATCCTGGTTGTGGTTGATAAAAATCATGGACAAATAGTTGAAACCTTTAGATATAAACTACTATGTATCAACTGTATCAAATTTCACTTATATGTATGGTCACTTTTTATTATACTTCGAGTCCAATAGTAGCATGTAACGATTTCCACTTTCCAATCCACCAAAGTGCTGAGGGCTGGCATACATATAAGTCAATTATTATTTCAGGTTCATGCAGGATAAGGAAATGTGGACATGCCTTATTTCTAAAGCAATACAATTTTGTTGGAGTGATACACAGGAATATTTCTAATGGCAATGATCCACTTGTGTTTTGTAATATAGGGTACAGTGTACGCCAAAAATATTGAGTTTAAGTCATTGAATTGTAATTATCTCCCTATAACCCTAAATAAAATAGAATGTTCATTCTATTTGTAGTTTTTTCATCTCTAAAATACACTTTCATTTTTATCATAGAACCTCTTGTTTCTTTAATCTTTTAGAAACCATAGCAACCAAAAGGAAAAGTTTTCATTATTTCACATATGTATTCTTAAAACATTCCCCAAATTCAAACATTTATTCTTTTGACATTCTGTAAAAGAAAACTTCAAAATTTTGGTATTAGGACCGTATTTCAAATGGACTTTATTTCATGGAGGCATTTTAAAACACATGAAATTTCAGCCCAGTCTTAGATACATGACTGACGTTACATTCTGTACATCATATCACTATGCACACAAGATACAATTATTATCCATTTGTAATGATATTAAGCATAACAAAGATTATACTCTCAATTTCAAAGGTAAGTGTGAATACATTTATATAGGAGAGTGCTTGAGACTGGACATACTAGTCTTGAATTGTTTAGTTTTTTACCCTTGTTCAGGGGTAATGGAAACACAGAAAGTCTTGATTATCAAATTATTCCAAGATATATCCTGCTAGTACTGAAATTGGAAATCAAAGCAAATAATGAAATATGGACTGTTCACAGAAATCCTTGCAAAACATGGTATCAATCTAAAACGAGCACCCAAGGAGATTTTAGCTGATTTACGAGAGTCAGTGTTGAGTTCAAAGGATTTGCAAGATAACATGAGTCAGAGTAGCCAGAGCTCATCCAGCACAGCTCAGACACAAAGGTAAGGTTTTAGAATCCTAGTGTTTGTACCATATCCAGTCTATAATAGACAGATATATCACTAATATATTAACTAGCCCACCTTCATCAGATGGTGAGCAATTCAAATCATCTTTTGTCTGTCATCCTTCATCCATCATCCATCCCTCTGTAAACAGTTCTTGTTACTGCTATAGCTTGAGAAGTACTAGAAGAATATTTCTCAAACTTGATGTGTATGATTCTCATGGTCCCTAGTTTTGTTCATTTAATATTGAGACTGATTAGAGAAAAACTGGCTGACAGTAGGCAATTTTGAATTTTGACATGTTAAAGTTTGTCATCACTATTTGTGGAGTAGTACTGGGGGGATATATTTTAAACTTACCTTTGATGTACAGGTAATGTTCCCCCTCTGTCACAAATTGTGCCATTCAATTTTGAGTCCTCTCAGTGAAATAAAATGTTAAATATACACCCATGATGGATTTTTCAGTTGAAGATTGTTTTTGCTATTTCTTAAGTACTGGAGAGATACATGTATTTCTCAAAATCAGTATGTATCCACATGGATCCATGATCCATACTTGTGCCCATTCTGGTTTTAGACAGATCATGCAGTGAAATGAAATAGTGCCAGAATCAGACCATGGCTTCAGCCTGTCTGCCAATATGTTCGCATCTAAAGAATCCTTGTTTTGATGTTGTGTTCTTTATTCCCTACAGACAAATGTCCCAGTTGAGTTTGCAGAGCCAAGAAGACAGTTCTGATGAAGAGTTGGATGGTCCCCCACAGGCGCACCCCACCAAGGAGATCTGTATATTTCACCTTCGTGGAAGGTGTGGATTTGGTCGTGGATGCCGCAAGTCCCACAAAAACCTGCCTTACCAGTGGCAGTACCATGAGTCTGGGAAGAAGTGGATAGATCTGCCCCTTAGCTCTAATGTTGACCTGGAGATAAATTACAGTGATGTAGAAAAAAGTGAATGTTTCGTAAAGTTAACAACTGTTGTGTAAGTATTCAGACATAATATTTTTATTTTAACCTGGTTGCAAATTGTGAATCAGTTGAATTATAGATTCATCAAGAAAGAAGGAAATTAGATTTTACAAGTAGCATCTTTTTTTTGTTATCATTTAAGGTGAATTTATGGGTTATTAAACTGATGAGAATGATAAACAGAATTTTTATAAAATGGTTTCAAACTTTACCAAGTAAAACTTTTGCAGGACATGATCTAACAAAATTTCACATTAGCATAAATTGACCTATAGCAGTAAAGTGCAAAGTCAAAATTTTATTGTGGGTCTTCAAATATTTTCCCCTTCACAGACCACCTGTGGTAGTTCAACTGAACTTTGATACTATGACTGGAGTGGATAAGGATCAGGTGTCACGTAAATTACGTAGACTGTCTACTGCCTCATCAGGGGCAGAGAAATTCACATCGCTCGCAACACAGTGGAAGTGGTATTGGCTAGACGAAGGCCAGGCATGGCGAGAGTATGGAGAACAGGTATAGGATTCTATGTTTTTACTGATATTTCTTTTAGAAACAAGTAGCATAATGAAAAATAGATATGTATTGTGTCTGAGTTGTTGTCTGTTTGATAGACATTGTAAACAAAGGTTTGCCAGTTGTCAATGTCAGGTGGTCCACACAGATATCAGAGGTAATGAATATGCCTTGTCCTTTAACGTGTCAGATAAGGGCTACAAGTAGATGGTAGTGTTTCCATTAGTTTCTGTCCATAGTAATTAATGCTGTCAAGTCAGAATGATAATGTCACAAATTATATAATCATTTCCCATCATATACACACTGATTAATAATGGCAAGCGATACGTTGGTACAGAACATTACAGGGTACAAGGCTATCATCAGTAGTGAGGAGATGGAACAGCGATACTTAGAGAACTCTACAGGACAGCTTCGCTTTGCTACCCTCGGCCATGAATACCTCATGGACTTTGAAAAGATGGTCCAACAGAATCTCTTTTATCAAACTGAAAGACTTGTGCGGCGCCGGCCTGTTTTTGTAGCCCCAAAAGATGTGGCTGAGCGCAAGAAAAGGTTAGTAAATAGCTAGTTTGGTAAGAATTGATATCCTCACACTAGTATAGTCATTTGGTATGAAGTATGATTGGGTGAAGGTAAATCGTTCTTTTATAAATTGTGAGTCTCTGCCCTCAAGGGCAGGGTCTAATGACGAAAATCTGTCAATTTCTTTAAAATCTGTCTTGTTCTTCAGGAATTGCAGGATATTGTCTGAATTTGGTCTGAAGCATGCTTGGGTGAGGAATAATAAGTTTTGTATAAACCATGGGTCTTGGGGTCCTGGGGCCAGAGGGGCAAAACAGACTGTGATTGGTCATTTTTTTCTCCTGGAACCAATAAAATTACTTTGCTTGTGCCTTCAATTTGCCATGAGGAGTTCCAGGGGTGCAGAGAGCAAAAGTGATCATAATTCCTGGAGTATTGAGGATGGTTCCAGGGGTGCAGAGAGCAACATTGATCATAACCCTTGGAGTATTGAGGATGAATAGGGGAAATAGAGATTCTTTATAGTTCAATTCTTCCAGGTGGAATATTTAGATATTTCCCAAATTTAAACTGAAGCATCCTTGGTGGAGAGGAATCAGTTTTGTATAAAGGATGGGTTTTGGCCATTGGGGCAGGAGGGGCAGGGCCCAATATGGCAAAAAGCACAAATTTTTAAAAATCCTTCTTCTGTATGACACCTGGATGTTGTCTCCTTTTGCCTTATGGGCCTCTTACTTTTTATTGCAATAATGTCAATAAAGATCCCTTCAGAAATCTTGCTAACTCTCTGCCATAATCACACAGTTTGAAATATGATCATGATAATAATGCTAATGATACAACATAGATATCATAATGAGATGTTAAACTTTAAATTTTTTATGGTATAGAAATCCACAGAGCAAAAGTCACCAAGGCGCCAGTCCTGCAGTGATTATGGCTGGACCCTTAACACAACCACTGATGTCCTATATACCAATGGAGTGGGCCTTTGATCGTACTTTAAATACAGATCTAACCAACCGTATTAGCTCACACTTTAGTAGGGTGCCGGTAAGTTGTTATCACACAGTAGGCTGTCCATCTTTTTTCATCTACCACTTAAGTAGGCTGTCTATCTGTTTTCATAAAACACTTAAGCAGGCTGTCCATCCTTTTTCATCTGACACTTAAGTAGGCTGTCTATCTGTTTTCATCTAACACTTAAGTAAGCTGTCTATCTGTTTTCATAAAACACTTAAGTAAGCTGTCCATCCATTTTCATCTAACACTTAAGCAGGCTGTATATCTGTTTTCATCTAACACTTAAATAGGCTGTCTATCTGTTTTCATCTAACACTTAAGTAGGCTGTCCATCCGTTTTCATAAAACACTTAAGCAGGCTGTCTATCTGTTTTCATCTAACACTTAAGTGGGCTGTCCATCCGTTTTCATAAAACACTTAAGTAGGCTGTCTATCAGTTTTCATCTAACACTTAAGCAGGCTGTCCATCCGTTTTCATCTAACACTTAAGTAGGTTGTCGATCTGTTTTCATCTAACACTTAAGTAGGCTGTCTATCAGTTTTCATCTAACTTGAGTAAGCTGTCCATCCGTTTTCATCTAACACTTAAGCAGGCTGTCTATCTGTTTTCATCTAACACTTAAGTAGGCTGTCTATCTGTTTTCATCTAACACTTAAGCAGGCTGTCCATAAATTTTCATCTAGCATTTAAGTAGGTCGTCAATAAATTTTCATCTAACACTTAAGTAGGTTGTCAATAAATTTTGATTGAACACATACGCACCTGATGATAAGATTCCATTGCACACTTACTTAAACAGGTTGTCTGTACATTTGACCTTATGTATAAGTACCTATCGTTAAGCTATTAACTCACACAGGATTTCTTCTAACACTTAAGCAGGTTGTCAGCAAATTATCATCTCACTCTTATATATATCTAGTGCTGGTAATTAAGATCTCATTTTGCTCTTAAGTAGAGTACAAGTAAGTTGTTGTCTCATACTTTTCTATTGCTTTTTCTTCAATTTTAATAGATTCTTGGGCAGTCCTTACCATCAGTAAAAGATGAATGTCGGAAAATAAAGGATTTGTTCTACTTGACCATGCCACAAAGTGCACAGATACTAGGAATTGATCGCGTGGAGAATGGGGAACTCTGGATGAATTTTGTAAGGTATGGCGCTATATCTAAACTAGAGTTTCAAATTTATGGTTGATAATTGTAAGTATTAAGTAAAAATGAAAAATTAGGAATTAATTAGTTAACAGTATTACAATAGTAATTCTCCTGGCCAACAATGGATATAGATGAGGTCATCACAAGGCTTCCTCATATTGCTTGATGTAAATGGTGTTACAGCTGTTTCATGTGTTAAATTTTTCAGTAAGAAGGAAAAGATGAAGCTTAAGAAAAAGGACCCCAATGAGAAACAACTGTTTCATGGCACCAATGGGCAGTATGTGGATGCAATTTGTCAACAAGGCTTTGACTTTCGTTTCTCTGGAAAGACATCTGGCACCAAATATGGTCGTGGTAGTTACTTTGCCAAGTCTGCTGCCTACGCTGACCACTACAGTAATGGAGGAGAGATGTTTCTGGCCCGTGTCCTTGTCGGTCAGCATGCCAGGGGACAGTCTTCCTTTGTCCGGCCACCACCAATCAATCCTAAGGATCCGTTTGAGCTGTATGACTCCTGTGTGGACAGTGACTCAAATCCAGGAATTTTTGTTATGTTTACGTTTGACCAGGTCTATCCAGAATATGTCATCAAATACAAGAAAAGTGTAATTTAGTGAAAAATACATAAACATTTTTATACCTATGTCCAAAATTGTGATTAGTTTTTATCATCCTAAATCTTCATCCTTCCCAGTGTTAGATTGTTCTATCTCTGTTTGATAGCTTTGTGCAACATTTGGCAGAATGTCAGAGCATATGGTCTTTAGGAGACTTTTTCCACAGTTTGTATTGGGTGATCCTAAAACTACATGAAATATTTTCATTTTCAAATTTTTTAATTTAGATTTAGAGGAAATTTCAGAAATAAAGATATTTCATAGGTTTTTGCATTTTCACACTATAACGTATGAACAAACTGTTACTTGTACGTGAAAGAGATGAGTTTTTCATAGTCAGCGGCTGACATTCTGTGGCATATCTTGCTCTCAGCTTCATCAGGGAAAAGAATATGTTACTAAATATTGGCATTTAGCTGTGATGTGTCAAATCTCAAACACATACAAGTAACAGATTACGTGATGGCAAGGCATTATCTGTGTATCCATTTTAAACTTCCAATCTCTTTGAAACTGGATTAACTTCCCTTTGTTGTTCTGTTCCGAAGATCTCTCTCAGTTTTTACTTAATATCTTTGAAACTTGATTGGACGTGCAGCATTTTGAAAGATTGTTATGGGATCTCTTCTTTCAGATTATGATTGATATCTTCAAAATTTGTAAGCCGAAACCATGTTATCATTTCTTCTAAGAAAATATAAATTACATAAGTGTTTTTTATCTTCAGTGGAATGTATCCCAGGATTGTCTCTGTTGCTATGATCTCAAGGATATATTTTTGTTTATTGTATCCAAAACGTTTGATAGTTTTTTGACTACCTTCTCGCAAATATGAATATGAAGGAAATAATTTTTTTTTAATTTAAGTATAAACAGCTTTAAAATTTTCTTTTGCAATGATGAAATATGCGTTTTTTATAGTATGGTGTTTAATGCTTGATAACCCTCATAAATTTCATGTGCTAGATTGTTTGCCTACATGTTCACTTGTATAAAAAAGTTGTTTTCACATTTTCTGCTTATCTACGACCAAGTACAACAAAACTTTTCAGGAACGGCTGTTTTATTGTGGTATTTTGGGAATTTTATTTGTTATCATTATTGTTTTTTTAATAAACACTTGTACATTTACTGACAATACCAGACTAATGCTTAACTATTACATTATGGAGCCATCCAAGTAAAACATTTACTTGACCTAAAGACTCAAAATAAATTGGTTTTATCCATTGTTAAGTTTACTAACTATTATGAATAAATTATGAATTACATTCTATGGACAGTGTCTTAAACAAAGCCTGGAGTCTTGCATTAGGATAAATGTTTTATTGGCATAATACTTATATTCAGAAGTTGATTTTTGTTCCACCTGACCATTTTATATTTGGAGAGGTTTTGATATACACTGTGTACATCTGTATAAATCAGTTTGTTTGATATGTCTATTTTTCTGATAGAATACAATCAATTAAGGACAGTTTGAGGTCCAGAAACATTGACGATAATGATGTTACACTAATGTACAGGTGTTTGCACCAGGCCCCAGTTTCATGAATCTTCCTAAATTTAAGGAAATCTTAACTAACATAGAAAAGCATTATGTAAGTGAAGGAAAAGCTTAGATTTAAGGAAACGTAGGGAGTGATTTCCATGTGTCAATTTTTAGTCAAGAAAAATTCCTTAAGAAATGTTTGTGAAACTGGGGCAACACTGTACATAGATATGTGACTTCTATATCCTAGTCACATAGAAATTCCAAGGTAGAAAAAGGCAAAATGTTTGATAAAGTTTGTAATAATATGATTATTTAAGTGTTTTAAGTCAGTAATTGCTACATACAGAAGTGTTGAGGTCTTTCACTGGTGTGAAGTGTGTGATGTACTTTTTATATGTGAAAGTGTTGTGGTCGTACCTGTAAATAGCATGGGTTGTGTATATATATACAAGTGTTGTTCTTATAACACAGTATTTTGTAAACTTAACTTATATCTGTCTGATGTAGTGCTGTATAGTTTTACTACTATTGTACTCATATTTATATATGTTTGTAAAGATGTGTTTGTCCAGTGATAATCCCATGGAAGATCACATTGCCTGTGATCCAAAAGGAGGGGAAGGGCTTGTGAAAAAATGAATATCTTCATCCAGAGGAACTTCTAAATTGAGTCATGAAAAAAATAAATAGGATTATAATCCTGATTTATTTTAATAGAAGTACCAACATCGACACCTTTCCCGTAAGTGCACTAAAACCTGACATGAATGCATTTACTCATGATATTACACAAATATGTTACATTTTTGTATGGCTTAAAATTAGTCTTTGTAACTTGTTAAAGCTTATATAAACAGTCAGAAGTTTTCTTATACATTAGAATAACTTGCTGTATTATAGATACTTTCAATCACCGTTGACACTAAGTCTTTAAATATTCAGATATATATATATAATAGCTTTGTAGACAAAGTGTACTTTCTTTGTAGACACTTTCTTTGTAGACTTTGTGTACTTTCTTTGTAGACTTAGTGTACTTTCTTTGTAGACTTTGTGTACTTTCTGTGTAAACAAAGTGTACATTCTTTGTAGACAGTGTACTTTTTTTGTAGAAACTTTCTTTGTAGACAAAGTGTACTTTCTTTGTAGACAAAGTGTACTTTCTTTGTAGACTTTGTTTACTTTCTTTGTAGACAAAGCATACTTTCTTTGAAGACAAAGTGTACTTTCTTTGTAGACACTTTCTTTGTAGACAAAGTGTACTTTCTGTGTAAACAAAGTGTACTTTCTTTGTAGACACTTTCTTTGTAGACAAAGTGTACTTTCTTTGTAGACACTTTCTGTGTAAACAAAGTGTACTTTCTTTGTAGACACTTTCTGTGTAAACAAAGTGTACTTTCTTTGTAGACACTTTCTTTGTAGACAAAGTGTACTTTCTTTGTAGACAAAGTATAATTTCTTTGTAAACAAAGTATACTTTCTTTGTAGACAAAGTGTACCTTCTTTGTAGACAAAGTGTACTTTCTTTGTAGAATAAGTGTACTTTTTTGTAAACAATGTGTACTTTCTTTATAAGCAAAGCATACTTTTTTTGAAGACAAAGTGTACTTTCTTTGTAGACACTTTCTTTGTTGACTTTGTGTACTTTCTATGTAGACTTAGTGTACTTTCTTTATAGACAAAGTGTACTTTCTTTGTAGGTTTTGTGTACTTTCTTTGTATAATTAGTATACTTGCTTTGTAAACAAAGTGTACTTTCTTTGTATACAAAGCATACTTTCTTTGAAGACAAAGTGTACTTTCTTTGTAGACACTTTCTTTGTAGACTTTGTGTACTTTCTTTGTAAACAAAGTTTACTTTCTTTGTAGACAAAGTTTACTTTCTTTGTAGACAAAATGTACTTTCTTTTTATAAACAAAGCATACTTTCTTTGAAGACAAAGTGTACTTTCTTTGAAGACACTTTCTTTGTAGACACTTTCTTTGTAGACAAAGTGTACTTTCTTTGTAGACTTAGTGTACTTTCTTTGTAGACAAAGTGTGCTTTCTTTGTAGACAAAGTGTACTTTTTTTGTAGACAAAGTGCACTTTCTTTGTAGACTTAGTGTACTTTCTTTGTAGACAAAGTGTGCTTTCTTTGTAGACAAAGTGTACTTTTTTTGTAGACAAAGTGCACTTTCTTTGTAGACTTAGTGTATTCAAATCCAATCCTAAAAGTCCTATTTACTTTGCAAATTCAAAATGTTTTGTTCATTTTGAGTTTAAGTTTCAAAAAATTACCAACATCCTGTGTCACTCAAAACCATAAGTATTTGTATTTACTAGATCTATGTCATCATCTGAAAGTCACATTATATTTTCCCATGTCAATGTCGTCATTTAAAAATCAGTTCATTTCATTTACTGTGTCTGTGTCATCACCCAAAAATGTAGGATCACATATGCATTCCTTCATGTAGGCTAATATCTGCACTTAAAAATAACTATCTTTTTAATATTTCATGCCAATGTCTTTATCCAAAAATTTGGAATTATTTCAATTTCCTGGCTCATTGTCTTTCAGCTGAAAATCCTGAATCATTTCATGTTGTGTGTAAATGCTTTTCACTCAAAATACCTAAAAGCATTCAGTCATCCCAAATACTAGCACCAACTGTAACAATACTCTGGTTTGTATTTGACAAACTCAGGTTTAGTTTTTTGGGATTATTTAAATGCTGCATATATAAAGAAGTAAAACTATTATGAATTTATTACAGAGGGATTCAAAAGTGACCTTTATAAACAGATGACTTTTGTAAAAAGGTGGCCTCAAAGACAGGTTAACTGTATGTCCCTCTGTTAGAGGCCTTTAGCCCTTTGTTATAGTTATCATACAAGTATTTTCTGAAATTAGAGGACGACAAATGAAACTTTCTTCATGTTTATTGAGCCAATGTTAAATAGACCCCACCTCAGGGTCTGTAAATAAGTGAGCAAGGTTTTCGATGACTCCACTATTAAATAAGATGATAAACTGATGTTTGTGAACCATAACAGAGCTTGTATTGCCCATAAACAAATATAGTTCACTTGGTAGAATCTCATGGTATTTGAAGTTTCTGGTTAATTTAATGGGTGGTTGCAATCCGATAAGATAAAAAATGGTGAAATGCTTTATTATACTTTTGGATTATTATGCTAAGGACATTTCTGTCTAGTGATATTGAAAAAAATTAGGGAACCATTAGCAGATGGCAAAAAGAGACTAAAAATACTGTACAGCTGGAATCTGCTTTACCCATAATGTGTACATTGAATAAAGACAGTATATACAAGTCAAATTCAATAAAGATCTGTCATTTTTGTATTGTATATATATGTTTGCCTTTTCAAATTTTACTCTGTAAGGAAATTGTTTCAAAATTGATACTAACAGAATCATATATTGTAAATATACATTTTGTATATAATTATTTTTTTGTTTTTGTTTTGGCAGTCCTTTGATTATCAATCAAGTTGTACAGTTGTGACTTATTTGTGTACTTGTGTGCAATGTTAATATGTAGTGTAGTTAGAAATCACATTTTATAAA